ACTTTGTGTACCTTGGCTCAACCATCTCTGACACCCTGTCTCTAGATGTCGAGCTGGATAAACGCATTGGGAAAGCAGCTACCATGTTCTCAAGACTCACAAAGAGAATATGGCTCAATAAGATGCTGATGACATATACCAAGATCCAGGTCTATAGAGCCTGTGTCCTGAGCCCACTCCTGTACTGCAGTGAGTCCTGGACCCTTTGTGCACATCAGGAGAGGAAGTTGAACACCTTCCATAGGCGTTGCCTCCGATGCATTTTTGGTATGACCTGGCAGGACAAAGTTCCAAATAAAGTAGTCCTAGAACGAGCTGGAATTTTTAGCATATATACATTACTGAAACAGCGACGTCTACGTTAGCCTGGGCATGTCGTGAGAATGGCTGATGGTCAGATTCCAGTGTGAACTAAGTAGATATACATATATAGTAAAATTTGCCCTACACTCCTGTTTTCCTCTGGGCCCAAGAGTATATTAGTTCCCAGCTTTGTTTTACATACTGTAGTCTCTTGGTTGTTCCCATAGTGCTTCTGATGGAGTGCCCAGTTCTGCTATATCCCATAGCTTCTTTAACAACTCTTCTATTGTTGGAATCTCTTCACTTTTCCATTTTTGGGCCCAGAGTAATTTAGCTGCTGTGAGTATATATATTAGACAGTGCTTCAATTTTTTATCATTAATTCCTGGCGTGACATTCAATAATTCAATTTCAGGTTTTATATCTGTTTTCTGCTGGGTAATTTCTTTTACTAACTCCCGCACCTGTGTCCAATAATTTTTTACTTTTTCGCATGTCCACCACATATGATAATAAGTTCCTGCATTTTTTTACACTTCCAACATATAATGCTGTTACCCTCTGACATTTTTGCTAGTCTTACAGGTGTGTGGTGCCATCTGTAAAACATTTTGAGGATATTTTCTCTGAGATTTGCTGGTTTAATAATCTTATAGCTTTCTTTCCACATCTTGGTCCAATCATCAAGACTTCATCGGTATGCGGATTATTCGATAAACGGGGCACCCGTTAAGCGAGGCACCACTGTATAGCTATATTCCTTCATTCTGATTTAGAAATTGTGTAAGCAGCTTCAAGACCCTAGAGGAAGATATCTCCGTTTAAGAGGATACTCTTAATGAAACTAAGTCACTTGCTGTGGCTAACATTTTTTGCTCCCAATTCCTCTTTCTTCATAAATGTGACTATTCCTTGTCCTTTAAACCAGCAGTCCCCAACAATTTTGGAACCGTGGGCCAGTTGGAGGGCGGGCTCCATGTGCAGGAGTTGGGGCACCCCTGTGCTCGCAGGTGGGATGTCACGCTTGTGGGGAGCATGTTGCGTTTGCACACGTGCACGAGCGCAACTTCCCCATCTGCGAGCGCAACCTGCCCATCCGTGAGCATGACACATCCGTGCGTAAGCACAACACACCCACCAGATGGGGGGGAGATCCGTCTCCACAGCCTGGTCCTGGGATGCCCACGGACTGGCATCAGGTTGAGGACCATGGGTTGGGGACCCTGGCTTTAAACTACCCTTTAATTTCACAGTCATTGTCATCGTTTAGTCGTGTCTGACTCTTCGTGACCCCATGGACCAGAGCACGCCAGGCCCTCCTACTTCCACTGCCTCCCGGAGTTGTGTCAAATTCATGTTGGTTGCTTCAATGACACTGTCCAACCATCTCATCCTCTGTCGTCCCCTTCTCCTCTTGCCCTCACACTTTCCTAACATCAGGGTCTTTTCCAGGGAGTCTTCTCTTCTCATGAGATGGCCAAAGTATTGGAACCTCAGCTTCAGGATCTGTTCTTCCAGTGAGCACTCAGGATTGATTTCCTTTAGAATTGATAGGTTTGTTCTCCTTGCAGTCCAGGGGACTCTCAAGAGTTCCTCCAGCACCACAATTCAAAGGCATCAATTCTTCGGCGGTCAGCTTTCTTTGTGGTCCAGCTCTCACTTCCATACATCATGACAGGAAAAACCATAGCTTTGACTATTCGGACTTTTGTTGGCAAGGTGATGTCTCTGCGTTTTAAGATGTGTCTAGGTTTGTCATTGCTTTCCTCCCAAAAAGCAGGCATCTCTTAATTTCGTGGCTGCTGTCTCCATCTGCAGTGATCATGGAGCCCAAGAAAGTAAAATTTGTCACTGCCACCATATCTTCCCCTTCTGTTTCCCTGGAAGTGATGGGACCAGTGGCCATGATCTTAGTTTTTTTGATTTTGAGTTTTTATTACTATTACTACTACTACTACGACTACGACTACTACGACTACGACTACTACTACTACTACGACTACTACTACTACTACTACTACCGTGGTGCCTCGCAAGACGATTGTCTCCTGGGACGAAACACTCGCTAGATGAATGGGTCCGGCGAGGTTTTTGGTGCCTTGCAATACGATTGTTCCTATGGACATTTTTCGCACGACGAATGTTGCCTTTTTGTTTTGTTTCTTTTTTGTTGTCCAGTACCATTTTTGAAGATTGCGCCCTTTTGCCCTACCTTCAGCAAGCCTCGGAAAAAGGCACTTTTTTTTTTCCATTCAGAGCCTTACCGAAGGCAAGGAAAAAGGGCCCTGATTTTCAAAAATGGTGCTGGAGAAGCCTCTGCAAGTGTCGCTCAGAGGGACCCCAGCGCTTCCCTTGCACCATTGGAAGACTGGCAGGGATCCCTCTGAGCAGTGAGCGGCGTTTGCAGAGGCTTGTCCAGCACCATTTGTGAAGATTGCACCCTTTTCCCTTGCCTTCGGTAAGGCTCTAAACGGAAAAAGTCTTTATTTCCCCCCCCTTTTTTCCGTGTTTCCCCCAAAATAAGACAGGGCTTATTTTCAGGGGATATTTTAGTTTTTGCATGTACAACAATCTACATTTATTCAAATATGGTCATTTCATCTTCTTCTGGTTGCTGCACAATAGTGGAGGGCGGGTTTTACTTAACTAGGGCTTATTTTTGGGATAGGATTTATATTACAAACATCCTGAAAAATCATACTAGGACTTATTGTCAGATTAGGTCTTATTTTCGGGGAAACGGTACTAGCCCACTCCTAACCAAGTCATTGACTCACTTCCACAACTAGCATGAGCCCCTCTGCCTCAGAAACACCATCAGCCATAAGCTCACTTTGTTTTGTCTCAGAGAGAGGAAGAGAGAGAGAGAGGACTTTATTGATCTGTAATTCATACAATTTTTTAACAGAAGATAAAAACCACAGAATGGTTGCGTGACTAGATTCTCAGATTGCTGTAGATCTTCCAGCATTTTTCAACATTAAGACCCAAAAGGGCTGTTCTTGTTTAAACATATTTTTAGTTGATCAGTGTCAATCCTTGTTTAGTTTCTTTTTCCAATCCTACATAAAATACCATGCTTATTCTTATTCACTTCCTTCTTCTCATGACTTTATAGTGACTGGATGCAATTATAAAACTGGTACAGTATCTGCTTAGTCATGTCTCCAGTGCAAATCCACTCTAGAAAGGTGTCGCTTCTTAACACAAGACCAAAAATAAATAAATAAATAAATCATGAAATGGTAACGAGAAAAGAAAAGTACAGGTTATAAGAGAGGATAATTTGGGATAAAGTCAGTGAAAAAAGTGCAGCAAATAGAAAATCTCCTGGACGAAGAATCCAAGAGACAGGTTTAGATTCAGCACAGCCACATTGTTCAGAGCTACTGTATCAAAAGTCAGTACAATATAGCTATGAGGACATCCAGTGTTTAGCAGGAGGAGGAGAAGAAAAAGAGAAAAATGGACAGGTGCTATTTCCTTCATGCACTACTTGTAGATATGGTTCGAAACTAGGCATATAGATAATATTGCTTAGTAGTCCATTTCTTAAGCTGCTTCAATGTTTTGACCCCAATTTTTACATTTTCCCCTTTGCATAATTTAATATTTAATTTGGCCTTCTAGGTATTTGGCATTTCATCTGAAGAAACTTTTGTTATCACAACAACTAGCAGAAGAGAGATCACGAATGAAAACTTTGGTATGTTTCTGTTTCTCTAACCAGACAAATCTATATCAGAATAGTATCTGCTGAGGTAGAAAAAGTCTGTAAAACCTATGTTCCACCTTTTCCCAGTTGTTTGTCCTCACACTGCCACAGGACTCCATGTTTATTAAAATAATGTTTTTGATCTGGGTACTAACCATAGGAGGATTGTGAAACCTATGATTAGGACTTAGAAAAAAACTTCAAAATCCTGAATGTATAAATGAAAGTTTAAGAGTTGATATCACAAAGTTTACATTCTAATGCCTCAGAGTTTTAGATAGTAAGAGTAAACATGCATTATTTCTTTTCATTATTATAAAATATAAAAATCCATATTATAAAAATATTTTTAAACCACCTGGTTAGTTAGGTATTTGAATGTTTCCCCTAATTTTGTCTACACTACAACCATGTTAAATTGTTTTTATATAGTGTGAGCTTTCTCAGTGTGGTGTAGTGGGTAAAACGATAGAGTAGGATTCTGGAAAACAGTGTTCAAATGGGAATGGAACTTGTAAAACCACTCCTTAATTATTTTAATTACTTTGAAAGTCCTATTAGGGTTGCTGTAAGTCAATTTCAACTTAACCGCACAGAATACACATATACAAGTAGATTTTATATACAGTTCAGAGGTGGAAATATACACAATCTACTTTTTTTTACTTTTACAATTTTTGAAAAAGAAATTACATTGTTTACATTTTGTGAAGTCAGTATAGAAAACAATAGAAACAGAAGTTGGTTTTCTTTTTTTAAGTTCCACGTATATCTTATAGGTGGCATTGTTAAAGATCAGATGACTTTCTACTTGCTACAATCAGTTGATCAGTTGCTTCCCTCAGCAACAAAGGAAAGAATTGATTTCCTTCCACATTATGACACACTTGTGAAAAGCGGAATGTATGAATACTATGCTAGTGAAGGGCAAAATCCTTTGCGTAAGTATTTCAGGTGTTATTTGAATTTTAAGTGTTTTGATAAAGTAAATCAATGTACTGTGTTAAAATAAATGCTTTGCTATTAAATTCATGTTAAGTTTAGTTTTGGAAAAAAAACAGCAAGTTTACTGGATGCTTTCCTTTTCTCTTGTATCACATTACTTTTTTATTTTATTAATAATAGAGACATTCTATACACTCTTTAAAAAGTTGGTTAACCATCTCAACTGTCCAACAGCCATGCACCACATTCACTGAGGCTGCGTTCGACCTTTAACTTCAGATCATAATACCATTCATTTCTTTATGGATTCCTGAATATGTTGAAGGGTCTGCCTAAGGAGAGTTTTGTTTTAGTCATGATATGTGCTGTGTAATGAATTTATACTCACATTGGTGATGCATAAGTACAGTAGGACCACCATATCCATGGAATCAGTAATTACAGATTCAGATATCCACTGCCTGAAAATATTAATTCTTTTAAAAATAGAAATAGATGTTTCCAAGGTTTCCAGCCACTGCTTCCATTACCTCTCCTCTACTAAGATATCTTCCCCGTCCCCAATCCCCATGGTCTTGCCAGTAGTGAGAAAGCATGGAAGACAGGAAACAGGCTTCCCCTCTTTCCACCTCAGGAGTTTGTGTGGGTAAAATCAACTGATACGATTTAACACCACCCCACTATATATAAGGTCCATGGTTTTCAGCATCCATGGGGCGGATTGGAACCAGTCCCCCGAGAGGATACAGCGGTCCTGCTATACCCATAAATTAGGCAACAGTCTCTTGACAGTTACCCTATTGGCTCCTTTAAAAAAAATTATAGTCCACCAAACCTACTGATGTTTGACCAGACCAGTTTAACTTTTCCTTGTTGGGTCCTGAGATAAGCAGAGAGTTCAGCAGTGGATGTTAGTAATTCTAATATTGATACTTTATCTAAAATATTGATTGAACCTGACAGGTGGTATGGGTATGAAAGCTGAGTTATTGTGACTGCATAGTTTGAATATCATTCTAGAAGAGGTGTTACAGTAGAATGAGACTCTGGCGCTTCCCTTGCACCATCGGAAGACTGGCAGAGGTCCCTCCGAGCAGTGAGCGGCGCTTGCAGAGTTTCCAGCCAAGACTGCTTAGATCATAGAGGGCTGTAAAGAAGGCTCTGTGCAGGTCCAAAGGTCATGTATTTGAGTTCACAAATGACCATTAGAAGAACCACAGTTGTAGTTAAGCAACCTGTTCTTCCCCTTCCACATCCATATGCTACAGTAATACAATCTTGTTCACCTCTTTGTAGTGAATGTTTCTGATCCTATAATCTGGAAGGGGAAAATTGGTAAAGCATATATGTGTTCAACTTTTTACTAATCATCCAGAAACATGTATTGTGTGTTTTTGTAAACAAATTATCAACAATAAGGCTTTGAACATGGATAGATAAAATTTTTAACTTATCAAATAACAAGTTAAACTAAACAAATATTCTGTTCTTCATAGTGGCCTGCCAGATGCAAACTCAGAAGCACAGAGTCAATTAGATAGCTTCCTAAAACATTGTATACAGTATGGCACAATTTTAATTAGATCTGACTACATCATAAAAATCTCTGTTCTGCCATCATGTCTCCTCCTGCTGAAGAAATGTCAGCATGCTTCAAACATCTAACAATATAAGTAAATGGAGGGGTGCTTTCTCTCATACACCAGCCTAAAAGAGCTGAGGTAGTTTTCAACAGACACAGTTTTTTTAAACTGTAAGGTATGTGAAATATTTTAAAATATAAATTCAAAAGCACGGAGCATAAATATATTAAATAAATAGATATGTTTACCTTTTATTATGAAGTAGGACTGACATTCACTGCTGAATTATGTCTTAAATGAAAACATTGGTCAAAATATTGTTTGCTTACTTGATCATGTAAGTGTTTCTCCCTCTCCTGCAAGGTTACAACTGTGCTACTTGGTGGACAGCCAGTTGTGAAACCAAATGGTTGAAGAGGAGCTGATGAGAGATTAAAAACTGCTGTACAATTGCCTTTATGTATGTGTGTGTTTTTCCCTGATTTTCGTCAGTTTGTTTTCTCTACTTTGTTCAATTGCTTTCAGACTTTGTTCCCAGTAGTAGTGGAAATGAGTGAAATAAAAGGGAAAGTATTCTCCAGAAACAGGTTCTCTGGAGACTGTAATTACTATTGCTTTTTTTGAGACCTGTTGTGCTATCCCTGCTTCCACTAGGCTACATGAAATACCAACTATCAGCGCTAGCATGACTCCAGCAGCCAGGTGAATTTTTGGTGTTTGCTGGTCCTGCAGTATGCAAGATTGACTATCTAATGTACCACTAGTTATAATTAATTAGAAAATTAAGAAAGAATCTTTTGAAATGTCAGTATTCCTCTCCTCTTACGCCTTTTCTGTGCTTTAAAAAATCTTTTCCATGTTCGTTACTTTACATATGTTGTCTCAGCTTTGGTAAATTTAGATATCATCCATTTTTACCTCTCCTTTTACTGGAAAGTTGTGAGTAAAAATGTTGCGATACATCACAACTCTATTATGTTGTTGATATCAATCAGGAAGGGTTTTTAAAAAGCTATTATACTTATAATTACAATTTCTTATACTTTGCCATCTTGGACCTATAATATATGTTTTTGGTTTTATTGTTTTTAAATTTGTAAACCACCCAGAGTGGACCTTTGGTCTAAATCGGTGGGATAGAAATACAGTAAATAAATAAATAAATAAATAAATAAATAAATAAATAAATAAGTAAGTAAGTAAGTAAGTAAGTAAGTAAGTAAGTAAGTAAGTAACTAATAAACATTTGCCAGTGTAGTTCTCAACAGAGAAAAAGGGACAAAGAACAAGTTAAACTGCATGTTGCCCTTTGGAAGCATGTTAAAAATTGGAATTCTATTGTTTTTTCTTGTCACTCATAAAGTATTGTTTTTTTTATTTTATTTTATTTAGCGTTTGCTCTTGCAGAATTAATTGACAACTCCTTATCTGCCACTTCTCAAAATTCTGGTGTCCGGAGCATACAGTTAAAACTGGTAAGATACTAAGGAACAACTCTACTGTTTGCGCTTTTGCTGTATAATAATAATAGTGCATTTATACATTGTTTTTTCTTCTTTTTAAAACAGTTATTTGATGACACCCAGGGAAAACCAGCTGTTGCTGTAATTGATAATGGAAGAGGCATGACATCTAAGCAACTTAATAATTGGGCTGTGTATCGGTTGTCAAAGTTTACAAGACAAGGAGATATAGAAAGGTTTGAATATTGTAACCTTAGTGATCATGTATAATGTTTCACAATTTTGGGTCCTCAGATGTTCTTGGACTGAAACTCACAGAAGCCTTCATCACTAGCTGTGCTGGCCAGGATTTCAGGGAGCTGTAGTCCAAGAACATCTGGGGACCCAAGGTTGGAAACCACTGATGTATAAATCACTAATTTTGTTGTATAAAACCTATTTAGACATATCTGCTTTGCATTCATATCCAGGAGATATGAATATGAAGTGTGTCAGCACAGGTATCTCAGCGCTCCATTCCTGCCCCCCAGAACCAGCCCAGTCCACTTAACGGGCTCCCTGCATCACACATGTCTGTCAACATCGGCTTCACACCAATTGCAACAGTAGTCCTGCTGGCGCTTCCCTGCCTCTCCCCACAACCGACCACTCCAGTGAGGAGGTGGGAAGATGAGTCTCATGGCTCAGCTGCTCAGCAGTTGGCTGCAGGGAGCGGCAGGCAGGGAAGCACCAGCTATTGTCACAGTTGGCACGATGCTGATGTTGGCTGAAACATGCGCTACATGGAACTTGGTAAGAGGACTAGGCTGGTTCTGGTGGGCAGGAGTGGACCGCTGGGACACCTGTGCTGGCATGCTTCATATCCCCTGGATACAAATACAAAGTGCACATCTCTAAACATGTTATGTGTATCTTCATTACAACAATATGATATTGTGCTGCTGACTCCCATTTCTCGAGCAAAGTGAACAAAACCTTGTTGCAAACTTAAAACAATACTCTCTAAGTATATTTATTCAGAATGAAGGCCAAGTAGAACTTACATCTGACTAAGTGTATAAACTGCAACGTAAAACCAATAAATATTAAAAAAAGGAATGTTTGTTGTGAAAACAAACCCAGAATTTTTGCAAAAGAAATGTTTGAAGGACAAAATGGGTAGAATGGAATACAGTTGGGTAGTATATGGGCTTTCTAGCACAAGCTCAATCCCAACTGTGAAGCATAGTATAAACTCTTACTAATAATCTTTTAACAATCATCTATATTAGTCAAAGATATATTTGAGAACATTCCCGCAGCTACTTCTTAAATGCTCAGAAGTCAAAAACAATAGATGGAAAGTAAGAAATAATTCAGTTTAATATTTCAGTGGCTGAAATCCTGTTGCTTAGCATAGTAAGCTCCATAAGTACCATAGTTCAAATGGGACCACTCTAGTTGTGACTAGAAATGGTGGTATTTGTATTTGTGTACAAATACGAATAGCCCTGCACAGGTGGACATAACTGTCCACTCACCCTTCTGCTGCTGCTGTGGGCTCCATGCTCCCTTCCTATTGCTCCAGAGCTTGTAGTTGACTAGCCACTCCTGGCAGGAGGTTGGGACAACAAGCCTCCCTGCCAGGTCGAAGAGTGCCTAGTCGACCATGAGCTCCAGAGTGATAGGAAGGGAGTGTGGAGCCCACAGCAATAGCGAAAGGGTGAGTGGACCCTCGTTATGTCCACTTCATCTCTAGCTGTGACTTATTTTAGCATATTAAGTTGCAACTAGAGTAAGTCCATTTTAATCCACTGAAATGGAGGATTTGAGTCACTGATTCAATGGGCCTATTCTGTTGTTGTTTACTATACTGAGCAACAGGATTTCAGCCACTATTTCAAAGTCTGTTTTTCGTTTCCTAGCATCAAGTCAATTTGCAAATAGTTGGGATATATGATTTCATGTGCCTCACTTTTGTGGAAGATTCATGTGATATAAAGTGTGGGGTTTAATTATTTTCAGATTGCTAAGCATGCCAGTTATGTGAAATGATTGCAATGGACAAACGGAAGACCACAACTAGAGACTTGAAATGCACATTTATATACATGCATATGCAAATATCAATATAGATGCATGTTGGTGCACAGAAATTGAGAGGTTTAAACCTTCCCTTATTGCCTTATTGGAAGTGGTGTTTGTCTCTCCTATTCCTCATTATTCACCATTAGATTGCTGTATCTTTTACTAATGGTAGAAACACAGGATCGAAATTCTAGGCAGTCCCCAGCACATCACTGTTCTCACATTGTTTACAGCAACACTGGAACAGTTTACCCATGACCACCCTTGTCTACCTTGTTCTAATAATTAATGTCATGTAACTTAGTATATATCAGCAAATAATGAATGTGTAATAGAGATTTAAAGGACTTATAACTTGGGAAAAACTTTATATTGCTTTCATAGATTTCATCACAAATTGGAAGTTGATTCTTTCGATGACTGTTTAAAATGTCATTTGGTAACAGCTGCGTTTTTAACATTTCTTCTATTTTATCTGTGTGTATGTGTTTTAGTGATCATTCAGGATATGTACGCCCTCCTGTGGCACCTCGCAGTTTAAACAGTGATATATCATATTTTGGGGTTGGTGGTAAACAAGCAGTATTTTTTGTTGGACAGTCTGCCAGAGTAAGTAGAATTTAATATTTTAGTAGTCATTTTATGCAGTATTACCTTCTTGATTTGTGCAATGTTGCTTTATTGACACAGATTAACCAAAGATGGCATGATTCTGAGCCTGTGCAGATCACTTCTCAGACATAACACAGAGCATCTCCAAGAAGTGGGCCCCATATTGTGATAGAAAGGGATGTTGCCAGATTACCAACACTGATTTGTAGGGAGAAGAGATTAATGAGAGCTGTGAAACAAGGAAAGGGTATAAATATCTTAGTCCATACTGCTCCTAGCAACTAGCAGGATGATACTGTTGGGCACACTGTGAATTGCCTTTACTCATGCTGATGACCTTCTTTAAGTAAAGAAGGTGAACAACAGAGCTCTTTTCCACAGTCACTACAACCTGAAATTTGGGGTAATTGTTTTGAACCAGAGATTACACACCTAGAATGAATAAAGTCATCCTGTATTTGAAGGTTTGGCTTGCTGACTTCAGGGGAAGGTAGTCTTTGTCTTAGCAGGTCAGGGTTCCAAGGAATTAAGATGTGGGACAAATTCTTCACTGGGACAAATATGTATGTTGATACCCACATCTGCTGTCATTTTCAGCAGATGTGAATTCCCTGTATCTTTGTGTGTGTTACTAGGAGTGTGACTTTGAGATTGCTCTGATTATATAACATTTTAAAATCCTGAACAGATGATAAGCAAACCTTCAGGTTCTCAAGATGTTCATGAACTTGTCCTTTCTAAGGAAGAGTTTGAAAAGAAAGAGAAGAATAAAGAATCTGTATATACTGGGTACATTAGAAACAGAAAGGTAAGGCCATCGAATCATATCATTGAATCATTGTAGGGTTGGAAGGGACCTTGGAGGTCTTCTAGTAGAACCCCCTGACAAAGGCAGGAGACGTCATACCATCCTGGACAGATGGCTGTCCAGTCTTTTCTTGAAAACCTCCAGCAATGGGGCACCCACAGCATCGGGAGGCAAGTTGTTCCATTGCTTAATGGTTCTCACAGTCAGTAAATTCCTCCTTATTTCCAGTCTCCCTCTGACAAGTCTACCGATTGCTTCTTGTCCTACTCTCAGGTGCAATGGAGAATAAATCAAAGAGGGTTGCCCTTTTCCATGTGGCAACCATTCAGATAGTGGAAGACTGCTATCATGTCTCCCCTCAGTCTTCTCTTCATTAGGCTAAACATACCTAGTTATTTTAGTCATTCTTCATAGGATTTAGCCTCCAGTTGCCTTGTCACATCCTTGAATGGGACGTGGTGGCGCTGCGGGTTAAACTGCAGAAACCTTTGTGCTGCAAGGTCAGAAGACCAGCAGTTGTAAGATCAAATCTACGCGATGGAGTGAGCTCCCATCACTTGTCCCAGCTCAGGTCAATCTAGCAGTTCAAAAGCATGTAAAAATGCAAGTAGATAAATAGGTACCACCACGGTGGGAAGGTAACGGCATTCCGTGTCTAGTCGCACCAGCCACGTGATCACGGAAACTGTCTATGGGCAAATGCTGACTGTATGGCTTGGAAACTGGGATGGGCACCGTGCCCTAGAGTTGGACACGACTGGACTAAATGTCAAGGGGAACCTTTATCTTTACCTTACCCCTTGTCATCTTTGTTGCTCTTCTCTGCATCCCTTCCAGGGACTCAGTGCCTTTTTTGTATTGTGGTGACCAGGTAACTAAATGCGAGTTTAATTTTGGGGTGCTATTAAGTTTATGGTCATGCTTTGTGTTCCTTTAGATCAGGGGTCTCCAAACTTTTCAGTGAAGGCCACGTAATACATTTTCCATATTTTCAAGGGCTGAAGGAACATGAACACATGTGCATACACACACTCGTATGCATGCACATGCTCCTGCCTGCCCACATGCACATAGGCACATATGGACTGGATAGAAAGGCAAGGCGGGCTGGATGTGGCCTGCGGGCCATACTTTGGAGATCCCTGGTCTACAGGATACTTGTTTAGCTCACTACCATTCACAAAGCAACACTGAACTACGGCCCTAATATTATATTCTTTTCTGAGAAAAATTAACTATTATTATTTCTTATCAGATGTCTTAATTTTGTTTCTACATCATTTCTCACAGCCATGTGACTCTTCCCATATTGTTAATGATGATGAACGATTCCTACACAATCTTATTATGGAAGAGAAAGACAAAAAATGTTTCACTACAGTAATTATCACTGGAGTACAACCACAACATATGCACTATTTGAAAAACAATTTTCACCTGTGGACAAGACAATTAACGTGAGTTGGTCATTTAAATTGTTTCTTATGTTCAAATGCTGTTGACTGATGCTGTCTTTCTAAAAAACTAATTAATTTCCAAAAACATGGAAGTTGCTCCAGATATGGTATTATATTAGAAGCTGAAGGAAAGATTGCAGTATTACTAGCAACTGGAGGATGGTTTCTATATACAGTGGTGCCCCGCATACATTAATCCATTACGGATGAATCGTCGCTATCCGGAAACATCGCAATGCGGGAGGGAAAACCCCATAGAATCCCATTAAACTTCGTTTAATGCGTTCCTATGGGGTGAAAACTCACCATTATGCAAAGATCCTCCGTAGCGCTGCCATTTTCGCCGCCTTGGTAAGCAAGGGCAGCGCGAAAATGGTTGGGGCGGCCATTTTGGAACCGCTGATCAGCTGTGTGAAAATGGGGCCTTTGGGAGGACCGTCCTCCCCAAACCCCCCATTTTCACCCAGCCAGCCGAAGCGCTTCGGAACGACGGCGGGGGAGCCCTCCCCCGTGGCCGCTCCAAAGCGCCCGCAGGGGGCCTATGGGGAAAAATCACAAAGTGATTTTTCCCCATAGGGAATATCACAATGTGATCGCTTTTGCGATCGCAAAAAACAAATCACTATGTGGATTCATCGTTAAACGGGGCACTCGTTATGCGAGGCACCACTGTACTTACATTCAATCAGTGTTTTTGGAGTTACAGTATTAGGTGGACTAAGGTTACCTACTTCCTTTTTTTCCCTATAGAGGTTGACGGTGTTAAATACTTTCTTACCCTGGTAAATGTCAATAATTATCCACTCTCAGCCTCAACTAATACACAAATATGTAAGAAAGCTTCAGTTGAAATAAGCAACAAGGATGGGATAATTGTCGCGTTGCACCCAGGAACTGACTTTGTGATTGCAACCTGAATTTTCCATAACTATAGATATATACCATATTTTTCTGTGTATAAGATGCCCCCATGTATAAGACCCCCCCTTTTCTAACCCAAATTAAGAAATCTAAATGGGGCTTAACAAGTGTAGGGGGGAAGGGATTAAAGCACTGCAGGATCGTTTTGATCCCTGCTTTCTCCCTTCATGCTAAGCTCCACGGGGCTTAGCAAAAGGAAGGGGAAAGGGATCAAAGCAGTCTTGCCACTGCATGATTGTTTTGATTCCTTTTCCCTTTATACAGTCATGGGATTGCATTGATCCTTTCCCCCCTCCTTTTGCTAAGCCCCATGGGACTTAGTAAGCAGAGGGGAAAGCAGAGACCAAAGCCATCCTGTAGCGCTCTGATCCCTGCTTTCCTTTTGCTAAGGCTTAGCAAGTGGAGAGGAAAGTAGGGATCAAAGCTGTGCAGGATCACTTTGATCCCTGCTTTCCCCTCCACTTGTGTTTGTTCTCTCCTCCGCTTACTTCCATGTATAAGACGGCCCTCAATTTTTAGTCTAAAAGACAAAAGTATAGTCTTATACACGGAAAAATACAGTATATACTAATGCAGAGTATGCTTAGCTCTTCTATAAGTGTCCAGGTTTCTAGTTATAAGACTTTTGTGTTTTATCTTTAATGAAAACTAAAGTGACTTGCTTGAATATTTAGGGTGGCACATTGAGATTTTGCAATATATTTGAATTCATCTTTTTACTACAGACATATATATCATTATTATATCCATGGACCAAAAGGAAATGACACTAATTTGCCGGTGACAGAGACAAGACATTTTAACAATATTAATATTCAGGTAGGAACTATATAAATATCATTCTGAAGAAATATCAGGCTGGGCTTACATAATTCTATAATCGTAAGTGTAAGCAGTGGTATCTTGAAGAACTGGGATTCTTAATTGTCACTATGACTCATGCATGTGGGATTTTGCACTTGTACAGGCACATTTGGAACATTCTAGAGACGAATGGAGTTTCTGGTGGGAGCCCTGCCTGTCATGCACACTTAGAAGTATTTCTTACTGCTTTTTTAAGTTTCTGTTTTGTTTGTATGAATAACATTTGAAATGTTCTACCAGTCTTTTGTTTCTTAGACTTAGAATTGCTCTGAGTTATTTTTTTAATTCCCCCCCCCCCCCCGTTTCTTGCCTACCATTAACTCCTTATTATTTGTACTGTTACTGTTTTTATTCACCCAAAGTATGTATGGCATCTTAAGGTCTTTTCAAGAAATGTATCTGTAGTGGATCATTCAAGCATTTGAGACCAACTTCCATCAGTTCCAGGGACACTTGTCATGTTTCACTATTGTGGACAACCTTGACCTCTGTTATTTTTTTCACCTTCCTAGTAATTCAGTTGTTGATTTTGTCAACCACGGGATCAATTACTCCATCAATATCACTTGGTTCCAGCTATTCAAATGTTTCCTCTCTTAGTATTAATATACTCTGCCTGGGCTCAGACTCCTTTAATATCAGTTCTACCCTTGATGGCAAGAGCTTTGGTATTGGTTTCCACCACACTGATGACCATCTCACATACTTTACAGTTTACAACATTTGTGTCCTCCATCTCATCTACACTGCTAGCTGGAGCTTCCTTTCTGCATAGAAAGCTAGGGCGGAGATAAACTTATGATAGGTGCCTGTGAGATCAAACTTCCAGAATGGAAAATTATGAGATTTGTAGTCCAAAAAGTCTGAAAATCGCATGACTAGTGTTTACCATCATCCACTTGAACTAACACTGAATTTGAAACAGCTCCTCCTTAAAGATTGTTTCATCTACTTGACCTTCTAAAGTTCTTTCAGTAAGTACAGATTATATCCTGCAGTTAAGTATAGATTCTCAGTTTCCTGTCTGTGAGTCACAGAGACCATGAAGAAGAATAGATTGCTTACTATAGTTCTTCAAGTAGTCTTCTATGAACACATTACCCTCCCATCTTTGATGTGTTTTCCTAAGTAGCAGACTCAGAACTGAGAGAAAAAGCTAAAAATACACCACTGAGCATGCACTAGGATTTGGAGTTCCTGCTGAAAGCTTTGCTCAGCTGTGGAATCTTGTGAATGTGGCTCTGTACACCCATGATATTATTCCAGGTGTTTTTCCTCATAGGTGACCACTCAAAGAAATTCAGTTATGAGTAAGATACATGCTTGCTTCACTGTGCTGTATCTTTTAAGACTCCTCAAAAACTTCATCTGAGGGTTGAGAAATATATGGTTTTATCTTTTATAGACTTGGTGGGGTTTTTTAATGACCTGTCACCATTATAACTTTTATTTAATGGGTGATATACATAATGGCTCTTGAACTTCTGCTAAAATAAAGAAAGTGTAACTAAGCAGAATTCTACTAATGCAGAGTACCTTTGTATCCAGCCTATTGAATATGATGCAGTATATTTTTATTTTGAAGACATATATGTGGCATTTCAAAAGACATAGAAATATTTAATCAAACATGTTAAGATCTTTATAGACTGTTGAGAACTATGAAAACAAAAGGCATTAATAGGAGGGGGAAACTATTTTATTTGTTTTAGATTTCAATGTTTGAAAAGGGGAAGGCACCTAAGATTGTGAATCTTAGAGAAATCAAAGATGACATGCAGACTTTATATATAAACACTGCAGCAGACAGTTTTGAGTTCAAGGCTCACGTTGAAGGAGATGGCGTGGTGGAAGGCGTTATACGTTATCATCCTTTCTTGTATGACAGAGAAACCTACCCCGATGATCCTTGTTTTCCTTCAAGTAAGTTCCAGTTATTAGCATACTAATGTTTACATGATCATAAGGATAGGAATTATTGACATAATGGAAATACAACATGTGTAATTTTAACAGGTAGTCAACATTAATAGGAATAATTCTTAAATACATAAATAGTATGTTTTTAAAGTGTTCTAATTTGGAGTGAATATTTTTTCCATTTGCATTCCATTGTAACTTGACATTGTTTTTTGAATTCAGAATTAAAAGCTGATGACGATGACGATGATGATGATTGCTATATAATAGAAAAGGGAGCCAGAGGGAAAAGACCTATTTTTGAATGTTTTTGGAATGGAAGGCTAATACCATACACAAACGTGGAAGAGTAAGATTTTACATGTCATATAATTTATTCATTTGCCTTTTCATTATTTTGTATATTTCTAAATGTTGTAATTTTCTCCAAAGGTTTGAATGGTGTGCTCTTCCAAAGAAGAGAGGCATTACTCCAATTGAATGTTACAGCAGAATTTCTGGTGCATTATTTACAAATGATAAATTTCAAGTTAGCACAAATAAGCTGACTTTCATAGATTTGGAAATAAGGTTAAAAGACAAAAATACACTTTTTACAAGAATTGTCAATGGACAGGTAATAATATGTTTTTATTTCCTTCTTGAAATTCAGTAAATAAATGTAGAAATCATTAGGTGCTATTTTCATTGTTTTTCTTAAAAATACATTGATTTCTGTTTTGCTGTTCATTTTTATTGTGTGATATATGATGTGACAGTGTAAAAAAATCTGAAGGGATCTTTTGCAGATGACTGTCACTTGATCTTTGGGTTCTTGTGGATTTGCCTGGCTGCAGTGACAGTGTAGGGTCACATCTTCTTTTAATTTCCCAGTGTAATAAAGCTGAATATTCAGGCCCCCTGTTGAGCAAGTGTAGACCATGTTTGCAATACCCAAATTTCTGATTAAACAAAGAGATTCTAAATATCTTTTTAATAAACAAGAAAATTAAGTTGCAAGAATGTCTAGAATCTTTCCTGTCATCAGTGTCAACCTGGCTGGTTAGCAGTTGCGCAACTCTGTATTTTCCCTTCCTTTTTTAAGGTAGGTACAGGGTCTATTTCCCTCCAGCATCCAGGAATCTCAGTTTTCATGAATTGCTGGAGAACATAACAGAGGTTCTCAGATTTAGCATGCTTCAAGGCAGTTATTCTGGCCTCGAAGACTTGGATTTCATTGACAGTAGCTAGGTGTTCCCATACTGTCTCTCTAACTATCATGAGTGGCAGCATCCCCACTGTCTCCTTTATTAAATCTCTGTTAGAAGTTTTACACTGGTGCAATGTTTTACTCTGCCAGCATCCAATAAGATCCTGGCCCTGTACAAAAAATAATATTTGTGCATAGATGAACCTTCAGGCAATTATAAATGCGGAACTATATTGAATTTATAATCCATTTACAAAACTCTTCACAGGAACAGAGAATGAAAATTGACAGAGAATTTGCATTGTGGCTCAAGGACTGCCATGAAAAATATGACAAACAGATAAAATTTATGGAGTTCAAAGAAATAGTTACACGTCCTGATGTGACCTCTAAGAGAATGCAGAGTCCTTGGGCTATATATTTGGCAATAGAGTGGGATGGAAAAACATATAAAGCTGGACAGTTGGTAAGTTGATCACTTGTTGAAAACATAAGACACTTTTAAGACAATGCATATTTATTAGACAGTATTGTACTAAAGGAGGAGAAGCTGAATAAAATTACATTTTGTCATATAATAAGATGTTAGCTAGATGACATGGTGGCGCTGCAGGTTAAACCGCAAAGCCTCTGGGCTGCAAGGTCGAAAGACGAGCAGTTCAAATTCACGCCTAAACACAGGCACAAGATATTTTTTAAAATGGAACCAAATGGTATAATGAAATATGGAATATAGCGGGCACAAGATATTTTTTAAAATGGAATCAAATGGTATAATGAAATATATAATATAGCTTTAAATGATAAATTAACTTGTAATCTAAAGGTTAAGAAAGGAGAGTTGAAAAAGAATATTTTTTATGAAATATGGGACAGATTCTTGGAATATATATTAACAAGAGGAAAGGGGAAAGCTCCAAATCAAGAATCAATGCAGTTCTGGAGAAGAGAATACTAGAAGAAGAAGAATATAGATGGAAGAAGAAAATTATTGCAAGAGGTCCCATCTACGGTGGTGGGGAAGACAGTTATATTGTATTTTAATTTATGTATTTTATGTTTATGTTTTAGTTAATTAAAAAAAATTAAAAAATGGAACCAAAGAAGAAAAAGAGAATGAAGGATTGCAAGCCAAGGGACACCAGTATACAGTCTGTGCAAAATGCATCAGCATACACTCACATGTACTGTTATAAGCACACGTGAAGCAATAAGGATTTAGACCATCATTTTCACAATGTTTTAAAGCTCCATACAAATTGTCCCATCAGTTGTTTCCTCACACCTCTGCCAACCACCATTCTTATAGCCAAAGGAGATGCAAGTCTGCCTACAAGGCAAAGTCTGCAGTTATGATCAAATGTTGTCTTTGATTCATGCATTCCTCATCATTCCTTTGGGGACAGACTTCAGCTCTCTAAATTGTCTGCTTCTTAATCAGATTTGAAGTCAAGGTGCAACGATTCAGTCTTTTCACTGCCTTTCAAGTGTTCATCAAGCTTGTGGTGGTAGTAGAGGCACTTCTTTGCAAACATGGTATGATAGTATGACTGGCTGGTGAAACAGTGTTGCAGCATAGCCAAAACTACACATTAGCCCCTTTGTGTCAAAGTCTAGAAGTTAGTGCAAGGAAGTGTCATCTTGTATCAGTTCTAGTTATCAATGTTATAGATGACTGTCTAAGTGCTCAGTTTGCTGGGGCCATCCTATCTGTACTGAAAGCAGTAAGCTTACAGAGCAAAATTTAAATGCTTCCAGAGTGGAAATGCAACAAAAATAGTTTGGTCCTAATTCAAAATGGTCCTACAGTGGTGCCCCGCATAACGGGCACCCCGTTTAACGACGAATCCGCATAGCAGTGTGTTTTTTGCGCTCGTTTTTGCGATTGCATTGCGATGATTTAGATAGCAAAAAATCGCTTTGCAATGATCGATAAGCTGTTTCACTTACCGATTTTCGCATAGCGATGTTTTTTAAACAGCTGATCGGCGGTTCCAAAATGGCCGCCAGATAAAAGAAATGGCCGCTCGCTGTGTTTTCGCTCCCATTCCTTGCTTACTGGGCAGCGAAAATGGCAGCCGTATGGAGGATTTTTGCATAACGGTGAGTTTTTTGCCCATAGGAACACATTAAACGTGTTTTAATGCATTCCTATGGGCTTTTATGTTCCGTACAGCGACGATTCCACATAGCAGTGATTTTTCTGGAACGGATTATCATCGCTATGCGGGGCACCACTGTAATTGAAATGCAACTGCCCTGATTATCAGAGATTTATAATGACTCTCATTAGCATGTATTATTCCCCAACCACAGCAACATACTTCAAACACAATAAAAAGGCCAACACTCTCAGCAGAAGGTCTACTATTTCTGCTACCTGACAAAAGTGATGCCTGCATTCTCAGATGGAACAATATTGCAGTATTCTGGTGACATGGTGTAGCCCTGGCAACCATGGTGCTGCTGTCCAATCAGGAAGTTTTCTGACTTTCACTCATGCCAAACCTAATGACTTTGGCAGACAGAGACTCTGCTCATTACAGCTAATAGCATGGAAAATCAAGCCGTGTTATCACGTTCTTGTTTGGTCCAAGCCTCATGAAAACTAAACACACCTCAGTCATATGAAAAAAGATAGTCATTCAGTTCCTTCTTAATAAAACCGGTGATGTGGCTAATAGTACAGCTATGTAAGAATTTCTAACATTAAGGAAGACAGTAGATTGAGCTGAGATGTCCAGTGCATCATCTTGTCCGGCAAGGTTAACTTGCTTTCAACCTGTGACGTCCAATGAGGTGGACTGGGTGCTTGCGTGATGTCGTGCCTCCACCTCCTCTTTAGACCCTTGTCCGGCCTGGCTCATCAGCCAAGCCGGTAATAATGACCACTGCAATAATTAATGGGTTTCTCCAGGAGGGCATGGTTCCCCCTACCTTCAAGGAGCCACTCATTAGGCCCATTCGAAAGAAACCTATTTTGGCACCAGATGAAATTGGGTATTATAGGCCCATCGCCAATGTTTCTTTCTTGAGTAAAGTGGTTGAGAGGGTGGTGGCCGATCAGCTCCAGGCCCTCCTGGCAGAAACTGATGCCCTTGATCCATTCCACTTGGCCTTCAGGCTGCGTCAGGGTACGCAAGCAGCATTGGTTACCCTTGTTGGTCCTCCTCGATATCTCAGTGGCCTTTGATACCGTCAACCATGGTAAGCCTCCTGGAGCAACTCTAAAAGTTTGAGATAGGTGGCCTCACTTTGTCGTGGCTTCGTTCCTTCTTGGATGACCATCCCCAGAAAGTGCAGCTTGGTGAGATGACTTCTACCCTGTGGGTCCTCAATTGTGGAGTTCCGCAGGGGTTAATCATCTTGCCAATGCTATTTAATATCTATAAGAGGCCGCTGGGCGTGGTCATCCAGAGTTGTGGGCTTGGTGCCATCAGTACGCTGATGACACCCAGCTCTACCTCTCCTTTTTTTTCAACTGCAGTGGATGCTGTTCTGACCCTTGAAAGCTGCTTGGGGACTGTTCTGGAGTGGATGAGGGGAAATGGACTGAAGTTGAATCTGAACAAGACGGATATCTTCGAACATATGGGCATCCCTGGTGTCAGTGGGTTAGGAAACTCCCTCTCCTTTAGGGGAGTGACTCTTCCGACGGAAAGTGAGGTTTGCAGCTTGGGCATCTGCCTGGACCCAGATCTCACCATGAAAACCCAGATGGCATCTGTGGTCTGGGCAGCCCATTTCCATCTTTGGAGGATTGCCCAGCTGCATCCCTATCTAGATGTGGGGGCACTGACGACACTGATTCTTGCCCTTGTAATCTCAAGAACAGACTACAGTGCTTTCTATGTGGGGCTACCCTTGAGGCTGATGCAGATACTCCAACTGGTCCAAAATTCGGTGGCCAGGTTAATAACTGGGGTGAAGAAATCCCAGCAACTTTCCCCCACTCTAGCTGCCCTTCATTGGCTGCTGATTCATTTCTGCATCAGTTTCAAAGTTATGATGATAACATTTAAAAACCTAAATGGTTTAGGACCTTAGTATCTATCAGAACGCCTCCTCCCATCCAGATCTGTCTGTAATACCTGTTCTTCACAGGCAGGGCGGTTGAGGGCCTTGACCCCGAGTGAGACCAGGAGGGAAAGAACAAGAAAGGGAGCCTCCCTTTTACCGTATTTTTGCCATCCTTTTCATCATCCTTTTACCATCTTCACTGCCATCTGTTTTAATTTATTTTGCTGGTTATTATATTTGTTTGAATGTATGTATTATTTTACAGTGGTGCCCCGTATAGCAAGGTTAATCCGTTCCGGATTAACCTTCGCTATACGAAAACATCGCTGTGTGGGTAAGCAAAGCCTATTGGAACGCATTAAACTTAGTTTAATG